ACAAGGGTTTGATCCTTCGTTCTGAATATGAACGCGGTAGACAAAAAAAAAAAAAAATTTTTGGGGTTGTTGTGAGAATTTAAGCAGGGCTCATCCTCGAAGAGAAGGAAAATATTACACAAAGAAAGTTTCACATTTAAACTTTCTTTGTATAACATGTATACTATTATAAACTTTGCTTATACTTTTAAATATGCTTTGTATAACATTTAATAGCTTATGCGAAGTATACCGCATAATTTAAATTAAACTGTAAATAGGTTATAGTTTATTTGAAAGCTTATTCATAGATATATATGTAGAACAATATGTATTTTAGTTTGGAGTTCTTTTTTAGTCTTTTTAGGTCTTTAGATTTTTAGAGAGATAGTTTTTCTTTAGTTTTCATTAAGTTGTTTAGTATTTTGAGTAAACAGCTAGTAAGTTTGGAACTTGCTAAGTCATAAAAAAATAAAGATATCAGTGTTAACAGTATCTGGAACACTCTAAAGAAATATTGGTTACTATATTTTGATGCCTTTGTGTGTTAATAAAAATATTCGTTTTTATCTCTGTTAATGATTACGACCCTTTGCTAAATTGGCCGAACTGATACAAGACTATCCCTTGGTCGTAACAGTAACAGTTTTAAAACCCTAAACTCAGGATGAAATCTGTTTACACCTCGATCAAAGTCTACTAAATAGACATTTTAGACCTTTTAAAGAATAATTATTTTTTTTTAAAAAAAATATGCCTCTAAACATATATTTTTTATAAAATATATTTAGTATTATTTCTTTTGAGAAATAAATATTTTTATAAGAATTTTTATATTCAATTCGATGTTTAGCATGATAATCATTAAAAATCCTCAATATTTTTAATATTTTTAAATTTATTATATAGAACCTATGATAATTGATATTTCTTATCATTTAATATTTGTTGTACTGTTATCAATATTAAATCAATAAATATAAATGTTTAACAAAGTATTAATAGGCAGGCATTAATATAGGTAGTCAAATATAATTAATATGAGAACCATATTCTTATTTATTTTTATTCAATAAAAAGTAATATTCTTTTTTTATCAATAATAAACACACTTTTTTGCAACTTCTATCATATTTGTTAGCACACTTTTTAAACTGATTTCAGGCGTCATTTTAATTTTTAAGACCCATTGTTTCACATTATCAAGAACAGATGACTTGCATAAAACTTCCTTATAAGCTTCAAAATCATTACCAATACATTTCTTTGGTGTTATATATTTTTGACACCAGAAGCCATCAAA